AAGGCAAAAGTAGAGGTGCTGGACAAGGTGGAGCGACTGAAGGACACAACTTGAGGGCTTTGTTAGGAATTTTTAACTAGTACAGAAAGTTCATAGCGGATTTCAGCAAGAAAGCGGCGCTGCTGGACAAGCTGCTGAGGGAAGAGCAGAAGTGGCAGTAGGAGGAGCCACATGAGAAGGCCTTACAAGGATTCATGGAGGCGGTGAAATCTGGAGTAGTGCTGAAATTTCCAGACAAAAAAGTACCATTTGTGCTGTACACAGACTGGAGCACGATAGGGATGGGTGCAATGCTGAGTCAGATGGAGAAGAGAGAGGAGAACCTGCAGCCCAGCGGAGGCCAACTACTCGTTTACGATGGAAAGGGCTGGCGGCAGTCTGGGAAGTGGGACACTTCAGGGTGTATCTGCAAGGGTGTCACTTCACCTGGTGATACCACCAGCCTTTGTATTGGTCAATGCACAATCAGACGCTGACAAGCAAGAACGCGTGGTAAACTATGTAGCTGCAAGAATACGACTTCACGGTGAAGCACAGGCCAGACAAAATCATGCAGCACGTGGATGGACTTTCCAGGAATCCACCTCATGACAGGAGGGAGCCCTGAGCAGAACACGAGCCACCATCAGCAGCACTGACAACAATGGTTAGCAAACGGGGGGCAGGAGGGGAACAACAGAGAGGGGCGGCAGACGTTTGGCAAGATGCAGCGACCATCGCTTGGATCAAATGAGAGACTGCAGACGACGGGGGGGCAGGTGCAAGGGCAAGAGCGCGGGACAGCACTACAGGTGGTTTCAGGGTCAGGTGCATTTGCAGACAAAGGATGGATGGAAGAGGGTGCCAGCACCGGCAGGCAAGGTATTATCAAAGAGGTGCATAATAAGCTAGGTTTTCACGGGCCCCTGCGCACTCAACACTTGTTGCAGACAGGATGGTGGTGGACAGGGATGCAAAGGGAATTGAAAGAATGGAGAAGTGCGACCTGTGCTGCCGAAACAAGGCAACCTTGCTGAAAAGGCAAAAGCTGCAGCCGTTGGACATTGTGGAGGTGGGGTATCGCTGGTCATTAGACATAGCATGGGAGCTGCCCGTATCACGAAGGGGCAGGAGATACATTGTGCTCATGATAGGGCACGTGAGCAAGTGGGTGGAGGTGAGACCGCTGGTGGCAAATACAGCAGCAGCAGTTGCAGAGGCTTTTGAGGAAATAGTGCTGATGAGATTTAGCGCGCGTGGAGAGGTGCTCACTGATCAAGGAGCTGAGTTCCAAGGGGAGTTCGAGGAGCTGGTAGCTTCCAACGGGATCCAGCACCGTACTACCTCCAGGTATCACCCACAGAGCGACGGCCTGGCTGAGCGACTGGTGCAGCCAATGAAGAAGGGATTACGAGTGTATGGGGAGGCGAACAAGGGGGAACGGAACAAAAAGCTGGCAGCGCCCAAAATCACGGCACGCACCTACGAGGGTACCAAACAGAGCAACAGGGATCAGAGGGGCGTTGAGCAGCCGGTAAGGGAGGCAGCTAGTCGGTATAGATCATCCATCAAATCAGAAAGCAGATTAACTTACCTCTAGCGGTGCTCCAAAGTGCAGCTCCTCCATCTGCCTCTTTGTGCGCACTGCAGCGCGTGACTCCGCTACCCAGTCCCCGTATCTTCTCAAATTATCTCCCTCACACATCTCAACCAGCTCACCTCCAGCGGGGCTTGAAAGTGCAACTCCTCCATTTGGCTCTTGGTGCGCACTGCACTTGAAGTGACTGCTGCTGAGAACAACCGGCAAAGCACATTTCACATTCACAGAAGTCCCATAATCACCCCAACTCACCTCCATCGGGGCTCCAAAGTGCAGCTTCTCCATCAGGCTGTTGGTGCGCACTGCGCTTGAAGTGACTCCTCAGAGGGCTGGCAACACGTCTCTCACATTCACAAAGCCCCGCGAACACCTCGAGTGGGGCTCCTAAGTGTCCTCCTCCAGGCTCTTAGTGCGCACTGCTGACCCCTGCACCGAGCCTCAACTTCCCCCTCCCCCTCCTCCCCCTCCTCCTCGTGCTCCTCCTCCTCCTGCCTCTGCCTCTATTGTTGATGCTGATGCCTCAGGCTGATGCAGCAACGGGGTGGTGAGCCCTCTAGAAGCAGCAGGAGCCTTTGAAGGGTCCTGAGACTCTGGATCAGATGCTGAGTCAATTGCGGGAGGAGCAGAAACAGCAGAAAGGTTGGACGCTTCCTGCTGCGACCTCTCTCCCTCTCTCCTTCGCACTTCCTCCTTCCTCCTGTTCTCTTCTCGCGTGTTGACGTCTGCGAAACGAAGGGTTGGGATGGTGAAGAGGCAAGAAGGCGGTACTTATGTCAGCATGGATGTGTTGGGAGTAGGCACCGCGGCACTCGGCAGCGGTAGTGGGAGGTGTGGGGGAGGCAGGAGCAGATTGGATGGGTGTTTGCGTACATGCTTGTTTGTTTCCCTATGTATGCAAGGCCATCCCAAAAAGCTAGCTGGATCTACACAGTGCCAGTTGGAGGCAGAGTAGCATAATGATGAGAAAGAGGGGAAAGGGCAGCATGGATGTAAGCCTTGTCATGGGCAGCCTTAGCTGTACAACGTTTAAGCTAGTGATTGACGGGACGGGTGCTTTGAGGAAGGAATTGCTGGTAGATTAGGTGGAAACCTGGGTAGGATCTGTAATACTTGTACGTTTCCATTCTATACGAGTGCTGAAAACTTGAACAAGGTGTGACGTTAAGGAGATATGACAAGCAATGGTTATAGTAGCGAATCTATAGGACGAAAGAAATGTGGAGGAGCCGAGAGCTTATCAAAAGGGAAAGAGAAGGATTATGTTGGACACTAAGGGGGAGAGCGAGAGACAGCAAAAGGGGTACAGACAGCAAACAAAGATAGGCAGTGAGAGAAGGTGTAAGTACCAGAGAGAGAAGGAAACAAAATACTATGGAGGGGAATGAGAAGTGAGAAGGGACAAGCAAAAGAGAGATACACTCAAGAAGAAGTGGGTGCATTTCCGACATGTTACTTATTCATTTGGTTGGTGTGTCAAGAGATATTGCTCTAATTACAATTATGGTTGGTACCAAAAATAAATGCATTACTTACCAATATGGTTGGTACCAAAAGTAAGTGCGTTACTTTTCCATATGGTTTGTATCAAAAGTAAGTACGTTACTTACCCATGTGGTTGGTACCAAGAGTAAACGCGTTACGTATCCGTATGGTTGGTACCAAGAGCAAGCGTCTTACTTATACATATGGTTGGTACCAAGGGTAAGTGCGAACTTACTCATATGGTTGGTAAGCGCGTTGAACCCATATAATATGCACAAGAGTAAGCGCGTTACTTACCCATATGATTGGTACTAAGAGTACGTGCATTACTTACCCATATGGTTGGAACTAAGAATAAAGGCGTTACTTACCTATATAGTTGGTACTGGGAGTAAGTGCTTTACTCATATGGTTGGAACCAAGAATACGTGCGTTACTTACAGATATGATTAGCACTAAGATAAAGTGCGCTTTTTACCCACATGGTTTGAAATAAGTGTAGTTGTATTTTTTGCCCATATAGTTGGTAATACGTGTAAGTGCATTACTTACCCAAATGGTTGGTACCAAGAGTAAATGCATTACTTTCCCATATAATGGGTTCTAAGGGCAGGTGCGTTAGTTTCCGTTATGGTTCGTACTAAGAGTAGGTACGTTATTTACCCATAGGGTGGGAACCATGAGACCGTTATGGCTGGAACTAATGTTGGATGCACGTCATTCTGAGTGCATGTCATCCTAACGTCCTGCCGAGTGCTCGTGTTATTTGTGCTTGCATGATTTGCATGAGCATATGTCATTATGCATGGCTGTTGGATATTGTCATTTCTATGTTTTTCTCCAAGTCTAAATGCTTGATCATGTAGGAGAAATCTAGAGCTTTCCAACGATACCAAGATCGCCTTATTCTGATCAAGATCGCCCAAGTTACAAGATTTCCAAGACTTGGATTTCATATTACCTTTTGGGGTTATATCTAATTTGGGTGATTACTTGGGATATGACTATAAAGGGATCTTTGGTTGGGTGGTCAGGGAAGGCAACTTTGACTTGGATTGGAGTGGCTAGAAGTTTCTAGCATGGGTTGCAAATGTTGCAACACCTAGGCAAAATCCAACTAGATTGGATTTTGCATGTTACACCTCAAGGACCTCATGATGAGGGTTGCATCCTTGCTGCTAGAAAGGTTCCTACCATCCTTCCCTAGCTCTTGGAGAACCTCTTCCCTCTCATGGTTCTCTTGGAGGTTCCCAACTCCAACTTCCTATGCCTACATGTTTGTACTTCCTCTACCATTCTAGTCATGCGGCTGCTGGACGTTTTTACATGGTTCTCACTCTCTAGACCATCCTAACGACTGATTCAACTTGGAGATGGTAGTTAAGCCTAAGGCGCACAATCCTACCGAGCGGATTTGTGTTTCGATGAGTAATGAGTTCGTCGTAAGTTCTCAAAGTGACGGATCCTGAACAACAAGTGGTATCAGAGCGGGTAGTCAACTTCGAGACGACGAATCGTCGTAACTTCTCAATCAATGATGTCAAGTGAGATCATTGTCTAGCAGCTCTGCTTGCGAACTTTCGATTGGTGGTCAAATCGCATTCTAATTCAAAGTATTCAGTCCGCGACGACATTTTTTGTAGAATCAAAAGTTCTGGCAGAATTCTCTCCAAACGATTTCTCAAGTTTCCAACGTTCATAAGGCCTCAATATGGTTGGTACGAACTCCGGAGGTGCCAGTGGCGAGATGGATAGAAGTAGAGAGGCTGGAGAGTAGGGGGGAGTTGCTGGTGGAGGAGTGGGGACTCACCAACCAGCCAACCCTACGCTACCTACGTCTACTACACCATCTCCAACAACCGTGGATCCCGTGGAGGCGTTCTCTATTGAGAAATTCATGGGTGACGACTACGAGCACTGGAGCTTCCGCATGAGGCTGATGTACACCCAATACAAGCTATTGGATCTGGTGGAGGAGAAGGAGAAGATGCCGGAGGCCGCGGAGCTGAAAGGAGCGTGGATGAAGCGATCGTTCGATGCGTACATGCTCATGGTGCAAGCGGTTGGCGGACGACAACTTGACCACATCAAGGACCTCTTGGGTGATCCAGAGTGTGGCCCCAAGGCTTGGTGGAAGCTTCTCGATGTGCACTCACCGACACATGCTACCGGCATCGTGCTACTCGCGCGGCGACTGCGCGACATCAAGTTCGTTGATGGAGAGCCGATGCAACCGGTGTTGGATGAGATGCGGGACATCTTCACGAAGCTCCAAGGAGGCGGTGTGGTGTACCCAGAGCTCGTGCAATGCGCGGAGATCGTGATACGGCTGCCGGAGTCGTGGTCTGCCCTAGCGATCAACCTCAACTCCCAACAACCCCAATGGAGCGTGGATTACATTCGCGCGCGCATCCTAGAGGAGGACTTGCGGCGGCGGAGTGTGGACCGCTCGGAGGAGGGGGCTGGCTATGGAGTTGGAGGTGGAAAGAGTGGCTTCAAGAAGAAGTGGAAGGGCAAAAACAAGGACAACCCTAAGGAGGATGGCGGCGGGGGTCAAGGGGAGGTGTGCTTCTACTGCAAGAAGCGCGGACATCGTTGGCGGAAGTGCTACCAACGACCCAAGGATTGGACCCCGCCTTCATCGAGCAACCTGCATGGTGGCAAGAGGAGTGGGGGAGTCATGGGAGCTAGTGGAGAGGAGAAGGAGGAGGAGGAAGGCGGCAAATCTGAGGAGCGGAAGGCCGGGTTCTTCTTTTTCGTGAACGAAGGCGCAACCGACCTCGCTATGGCTGCCAAGGTTCTCCTACACCCCCTCACACATTGGGTGATTGACTCGAGAAGCTCCTGGCACATGACTCCTCGTGCGGACCTACTCGATGAGATTCAGCCCGCACCTATCTCTACGGTCACATCCGCGACGGGCGCCAAGGCCAAGGTCATGGGCATGGGATGCGCCAAGTTCATGGGAGCGGATGGAGAGCTCGTGGGGCTGAAGAATGTGCTGTGGGTGCCGGACTTGTGCGCGAACCTGATTTCTACCGGCCGGTTGGGAGATGCGGGAGTGAACACCGAGACGATTGGCTCGGAGCGCTATCGTGCTTACAACGATGAGCGCCTCATTTGGGACCTGCAGTGGAAGGGAGATGTCCACAAGCGGATGTGGCAGATCCCGGTCCTCCCTTGGCGGAAATCGGGCAAGGCGGCAGCGGCGGCATCTATGGAGGAGAGTGTCACTAAGGAGGAGCAGCAAGGTGTGCAAGGAGAGGAGTTGATTGGAGGAAGCGCGGCGGTGAAGGCATCGGCTACCTCGGGCCAAGCGGATTGGGAGACTTGGCATCGGCGGCTCGCACACGTGGTTGTTTCAACACTGGAGGTGATGCATAAGGAGAAGTGCGTGCATGGGCTGCAACTGCAAGGAGATGGCGCTCACTATGGCAGCTGCGAGGCGTGTATGCAAAACAAGTTTGCGCGGTTCCCGTTTCCACGTGCGGAGGGATCAGCGAAGGCGCCGCTGGAGGTGGTGCACATGGACCTGGTGGGTCCTATGAGGACTGAGGGGACTGGGGGAGTGCTGTACTTCCTTACCATGGTGGACGAATGGAGCCGTTTCACGTGGGCGCGTCCCTTGTCCAAGAAGAGCGATGCTGCAGCGGCGATCAAGGAGGATTGGTTGCCGATGGTGGAGCGGCAAGTGATGCGGCTGGTGAAGGTGCTGAGGAGCGACCGAGGTGGAGAGTTCCTTGGAGCGGAATTAACCAAGTTCCTCAAGAGAAATGGCATCCGACATCAGCAGACTAGCCCTGGAACACTGCAGCAGAACGACATTGCTGAGCGTGCCAACCGGACTATTGGCGAGGCGGTTAAGACCTTGTTGGGGGCTGCTGGGATGCCCTACAAGTTCTGGCCTGATGCCGTTCGCCATGTCATCACGGTCAAGAACAGGGTCTTCACACATGGTGGCGACAAGCACTGGGTGCCGTACGAGCATTGGCTTGGGAAGAAGCCATCCATTGACATGCTGCGGGTATGGGGCTGCATGGGGCTTGTGATGGTGCCTAAGGAGCAGAGGCACAAGCTGGAAGTTGCTGCTGTGTAGGCTGTCCATCTTGGGATGGCTCCTGACTTGAAGGGGTGGCTGATGTGGGACCCCAAGAGCAAGTAGTCACTGGTCAGTCGTGACGTCAAGTTTGTGGAGGATGTCATGTACAAGGACTGGCAGCAGTAGGTGCAGATTGGCTTGCGTTTGCAGGAGATTGAGCGGTCTGCAGTGGAGGAGGTTCAGCTGCACCTTGAGGATCTCCCTGGGTCAGAGCTGACCAGTGACCACAGTGGCGGTGGTGAGCAGCAAGTTTCTGGTCCTGCTGGAGAGGAGGGGTCGGAGGATGAGTCGGCACGTGTGGACTCTCCATCTCAGCCTGAGCCTGCTGCAAACGCCAAGGTCACCAAGAGGAGTGTGCAGGGAGGAGCTTCACCACATGGGCAGCAGACTGTAACCCGTGAGAAGAGAGAGGCAGCAGCACCCTCAAGGCTGAAGTATAGCCATTTGGGAGGACCCAAGCAAGGTGCCATGGCGGTTCAGGCGGATGAGGGAGAGGATGAGGAGATGGCGTTCTGTTTCTTCACACCCTTGCCTAGAGAACCAGCCACAGTGGAGGAGGCACTGAGTGGACCCCAGAAGGAGGAGTGGAAGGCTGCCATGGATGCGGAGTTCAACAGTCTCATTGAGAATGGGACTTGGGAGCTTGTTGATTTACCCGAGGGGCGACGGCCGATCAGCAGCAAGTGGGTCTTCAAGGTGAAGAGTGGAGCTGATGGTGCGTTGGAGCGGTTCAAGAGCCGCTTGGTCGCCAAGGGGTTTCAGCAGAAAGAGAAGGTCGACTTTGGAGAGATATTCGCTCCCGTTACTAAGCCAGTAACACTGAGGACTTTGATGGCTGGCGCAGCTGTGAAGGGATGGCACGTGAAGCAGATGGATATCACCACTGCGTTCCTCAATGGAATACTGCTGGAGGATATCTACATGGCGCAGCCCGACAGCTATGAGGATGGGACCAGCCGGGTATGCAAGCTTAAGAAGGCCATCTATGGCCTTAAGCAAGCGCCCAGGTGCTGGTACGAGAAGCTGGAGGAGGTGCTGCTGGGTGGAGGCTTCAAGACGTCCCAGGCGGAGCACAGCTTGTTTCTGCTTGGAGAGGGGGAGCAGCTGCTTTTGCTGCTGGTGTATGTCGATGACATACTGCTGTTCTCACCTTCCATGGAGTAGATTGAGAGGACACAGAAGCTGCTGATGGACAACTTCAAGTGCAAGATGCTGGGGGATGTCCACTACTACTTGGGGCTGCAGATTGAGAGGGATGTTGAGAGGAGGTGGCTGAAGGTGCATCAGTCACACTACATCTCTGGTGTCATGGAGCGGTATGGTGTGACTGGGGGTCGCACTGTGATGACACCGTTCCCTGCGGGCTTCAAACTGAAGAAGGCAGCTGAGGAGGATGATGTACTCGAGGATGAGCAGCAGAATGAGTACCAGTCACTCATTGGGAGTGTGATGTATGCAGCTGTGCATACGCGACCTGATGCTTCATTCGGAGTGGGGCAGCTGGCCAGAGTTGTGCAGCGGCCCACTGAGGAGCAGTTGGAGGTGGCAAAGCGCTTGGTGCGCTACCTTGGATCAACGGCATCTGCTGGTGTTCAGTTTTCAGCTGGCGGCCAGCTGAAACAGATTGGAGCAGATGGGGTCACGCCTGGAACCTTGTAGCTGTCGTGCTTCACCGATGCCACATGGGCCTCAGAGGATGAGGATCAATCATCGGTTGGCGGCTTTGTGTGCATGGTCGGAGGTGGACCAGTGAGCTGGAGGTCCAAGAAGCAGAGTGAGATTGCTCAGTCTTCCGGAGAGGCAGAATACATGGCGATATACCATGCCATCAAGGAGATTGTGCTCTTGAGGAAGCTACTGGAGGACATGGGAGCTGAACAGCAGGGACCTACACCACTTTTCTCCAACAGCGAGGCTGCTATTGGCATGGCCAATAATCCTATCCTGAATGGGCTGAACAAGCACATGAAGATTAAGTGGCATTCGGTGAGGCAGATGGTGAAGGAGGGGATTGTTGAGCTTCACCATGTGAAGGCTAGCAAGCACGCGGCAGATTTTCTCACCAAGAGACTTCCCGAGAGCGCACATTGGAAGTGTGCTAAGATGTGTGGCATGGCTTTGCACTAGTGTGGGCAGCAGTGTCATGAGTGCACGTGTGATTGTGTGCATGAGAGTTTCCATTTGTGTGAGTGTTTGTGCATGCACTCCGTTAGTCTGAGGGGGAGTTTGTTGGATGCACGTCATTCTGAGTGCATGTCATCCTAACGTCCTGCCGAGTGCTCGTGCTATCCATGCATGCATTGTTTGCATGAGCATATGTCATTGTGCATGGCTGTTGGATATTATCATCTCTGTGTTTTTCTCCAAGTCTAAATGCTTGATCATGCAGGAGAAATCCAGAGCTTTCCAACGATACCAGGATCGCCTTACTCCGACCAAGATCGCCCAAGTTACAAGATTTCCAAGATTTGGATTTCTTGTTAACCTTTGAGGTTATATCTAATTTGGGTGATTACTTGGGACATGACCATAAAGGGATCTTTGGTTGGGTGGTTAGGGAAGGCAACTTTGACTTTTGGATTGGGGTGGCTAGAAGTTTCTAGCATGGGTTGCAAATGTTGCAATACCTAGGCAAAATCCAACTAGATTGGATTTTGCATATGACACCTCAAGGACCTCATGATGAGGGTTGCATCCTTGCTGCTAGGAAGGTTTCTACCATCCTTCCCTAGCTCTTGGAGAACCCCTTCCCTCTCATGGTTCTCTTGGAGGTTCCCAACTCCAACTTTCTATGCCTACATGTGTTGTACTTCCTCTACCATTCTAGTCATGCGGCTGCTGGACGTTTTTACTTGGTTCTCACTCTTCAGACCATCTTAACGTCTGATTCAACTTAGAGATGGTAGCTAAGCCTAAGGCGCAACTTTCTACCTAGCGGATTTGCGTTTAATTGAGTAATGAGTTCGTCCTAAGCTCTCAAAGTGACGGATCCTGAACAACATCACCAACGGCATGTGGATGCTGGTCGAGCGTCTCCGTGGGGTGAACATCATGAAGAACCGGTGGGTGCTGATGACGAAGTACCACATCGGCAACATAGTCGAGCGTGAGAAGGTGAGGCTGGTAGTGAATGGCTTCACGCAGGTGTATGGCGCTGACTACGAGGAGACGCCGGTGAGCAGCTATGTCACGCTGAGGATCTTTCTCAGCATTGTCGCCGTCCTCGACCTCAACCTAATGCAGCTCAACACGAAGAACGCCTTCCTCAAAAGCAAACTGGACCGAGTGCTGTACATGTACCAACCGGACTAATACAACAACGGGACCGGCCGGGTATGCAAGCTGCTGAAGAGCCTGTACTGGGTACAAGTCTCCGCTGCTGTGGTACAAGGAGCTCAACGACTTGCTGGTGGGCGCCGGGTGGACAAAGAGCCAGGTTGACGAGGCCCTGAATTTCAAGGTCGGCGGAGATGGTGTGGCCTGCTGGGTGCTGGTCTACGTGGACGACCTACTCGTTGCCAGCAGCAGCACCGTGATGTTAAAGGAGCTGTTGGAGACCGCCTTCGAGCTACATGAGATCTCGCCGAAGGAAAGGTTCCTCGGGCTGGAGATCGTGCGCGACAAGCCGGCGAGGAAGCTGTGGCTGCACCAGCAGGGCTACACCGACAAGCTGCGGAGGCGGTTCCTTGACGAGGAGAAGATAGGGCGCAACCCGAAGACGACGGTCTCGGTCGACGCCCACGCGGAGCTAACGTTCGACGATGAGGAGGCTCATGAGCGCGCATAGGAGGAGTGCCGGCAGATGGTCGGCTCGCTGCAGTTCGCGGCGATGACGACAAGGCCGGACATCGCCTTCGCCTGCAGCAAGCTTGGGAGCGGCCTCACGGTGAGGAGTGACCAGTACTGGCGTGAGATCGACCGCTGCCTCCCCTACCTCGCCGACACCCGTGACACCGCCCTGGAGTTTGGCGGTGGGACAGAGTCTGCTCCAGTTGGTCGGCTATATGAACGCCGACGACTCAGGTGACAAGTAGAACGGGACTGGAGCATAGACTGGAGCATAGAACGAAGCACATTGCTCTGCGCTACTTCCTTGCTCGAGAGTTGCAGCAGCGTGGTCGGCTTCGTCTTGCTTACGTGGCCTCTCGGGCCAACACTGCTGATATCTTTACCAAGGCACTTCAGCCTTGTGATCATCAACGTTTCCGTACTATGCTAGGTCTAGTGCCTACTGGGCCTCACTTGCTTACCTCTTGACTTTGTTTGTACTGTGATCTATATGTACCTACATCTGCATGCTTACCCTTGCTAGGTTGAGATCACTGCCTTGTTTCACCTTGCTTTATAATCCTGCATGTGAACTGGCCTTGTGGCCTTGAACTGGTGCTCAGAATGTGTGGTGACGTTGTGATCCACCCTAAGCTTGACCCTGCCTTGTTCTCTTGCTTGTCCCCCAGTTTGCCTATGGGGGTGTGTCAAAACTATATTGTAGTCTGCAGTGGGGTAGACAATATGGGGTACAATTCTTTTAGGTTTTCATACTTGTACCCACTTGCTTGCTAGTTCATTCATTCCTCGTTTTTATCCTCACAATTAGCACTAGAAGTAAGTGCGTTTCTTACCCATGTGGTTGCTACTAGATGTATGTACGTTACGTACCCATACAGAGAGTACCAAGAGTAAGTCCGTTATTTATATATTTAGTTGGTATAGGGTTTAAGGTTATCCCCTTACTTATTTATATGGTTGGTACTGTAAGCAAGTGCGTTCATTACAGATATGGTTTGTACCAAGTGTGAGCTCGTTACTTCCCCATGTGGTTGATACCAAGAGTAAGTGGGTTTCTTACTCATATGGTTGGTTCTAGATGTAAGTGTGTTACTTGCCGATATGGTTGGTACCAAGAGTAAGTGCGTTAATTATCGATATGATTAGCACTTAAAGCAAGTGTGTTTCTTATATGGTGGGAATTAAGGGCAGTTGCGTTACTTACCGATATGATTGGCACTAAAAGTAAATGCGTTTATACCCATGTGGTTGGAATTAAGAGAAAGTGCGTTTCTTACCCATATGATTGGTACTAGATGTAAGTTCGTTATTTACTGATATGGTGGGTACCAATAGTACATGTGTTTTTTATCTAAATTGTTGGTACTAAGAGTAACTGCATATTTTATTCATATAGCTGGTACCAAGAGTAAGCGCGTACTTACCCACATGATTAGCACCAAAAGTAAGTGTGTTACTTACCTATGTTATTGGTACCAAGAGCAAGTACTTACCTATATAGTTGGTACCAAGGATAAGTGCTTTATTTAACGATATGGTTGGTACCAAGAGTAAGCGCGTTACATACCTATGTGGTTGGTACCAAGAATACGTGCGTTCCTTACTCATGTGGTTGGTACTAGATGTATGTGCGTTGCTTACCCATGTGGTTGGTACTAGATGTATGTGCGTTGCTTACCCATACGGAGAGTACCAAGAG